GAGGGGGAGGGAGTGGGGGCGGTGGGGGAGAGGCGAGGGAAGTAGGCCGAGATCTGCTGGATGGGTCTGATCGGACCAGGACAAACGTCGATGGCCATGTGTTCCTGGATGGAGATGCTGAGTTTCTTTCCTCGCCGCACCGTCATAGAGTCTGCAAGAAGAAAGAAAGACTTCAGGATTTAATGCAAACACTTCCACCGCGGGGACGACAGGGGGCGCTCACAGCTCAGTCCTCCCCCCCGTGGGGTGTGTCCTAACTTCTCAGCAGGCAACAAGTCCTGGACCTGGACTAACAAGTACTTTAGTCAAACTAAAAGTAATGGAGAATCTTAGGTAACACTAACGCAGGAGCTGCTGGTCCGCTGCTGCCTCCTGTGGTCAGTTTGTATCACTGAGGGAAATGTGAACAAAGGATTTGGACCGAGTGATGGAGGCAACAACAGTTGACTGTCATCTGTTTCTACGCCGCCTCAAATCCCTCATTCCTTCTTCAGTTACACAAACTGACCACAGGAGGCAGCAGGAGACCAGCAGCAGTCTGTGAGCTGAAATCAACTATTTCTTCTTTGGACCATTGACCAGGAGTCAGTCACGAAATCACATTTATATTAAGGAATTTGCGTGTCACGTTCTGAAAGACGACATTTTTCACTTTTTTTTTTTTTTACTTTCTTTTTTGGAATTCAACAGCAGCTATAAATCATTACTGCCTCCTACTGGCTCCGCTCTCCCCCTCATACAGTAAACAGTTCCGTGTTCCAGACTTGTTCTGATTACTTGCCAAAAAAGAGAATCATGAGAAATTACAGACACGGCCGGAGGAAGGGGACGGTTCTGAGGAAGACGAGGAGATCAGCAGCTGGAGGAACGAAGATTTAACACAAAGAAATAAAGAAAAAAAGAAAAATCTCACCGTAGTAGGAGACGTGCAGCAGATCCTGCAGGAGAGCAGTCTGTGGACGAGAGAGATTCACACTAACAGGTGTGAGGAGGGAGAGAGAGAGAGAGGGAGAGAGAGAGAGAGAGAGATGGGGAAGGGGAGAGAGGTGGAGAGTGCAGGAGGGGGTAAGGAATAGAAGGGGAGAGGGGCACGAACTCCCTCTTTCCCCCCCTCTGTCTCCTCTCTGCCTCCTCCCCACGTTAGTCTTGAAGGATGAAACTGTTCTTTTATTCACACACACACACAGATTATGTTAACTTGCCCCCCCCCATACTCACACCCTGCAGATGAAGGGGGTGAGGTGGTGAGGAGGTGGGGGGGGTGAGGGGGTGAGGAGTAAGAATAGAATGAAAACAGCTCTCTGTTTGTTTTCAAACTGACTAACTTGGTGTCAGTGACCAGTCGACGGTCGGTCAGGTCTGACCACTTCAGCTGATCCTCTCTCTGGACCTGGACCTGGTCTGGACCTGGTCAGAATAACACATTAGTTCTGGTTAGAAAAGAGAATCCCTGTTTCTGTACCACATCAGCTCCTGTTGGATTAACAGATTATTTGTGTTTTGACAGGAAGATAATCTCAGAGTTTCAGACGTGGAATATTAACAGCTTTGGTTTAAGGACGTGTTAGTACTGGTTTAAAGCAGCAGCAGCAGCAGCAGCAGCAGCAGCAGCAGCAGCAGCAGCCGAAGCGGCAGTGCTACCCTCCACTC